CAGCAGATGGGCCCCGTGCCTCCCAGGGAACCCCACCCCCACCATTGTGTGCAGGGTGCTGCTGTGGAAAGGAAGGGAAATCAGAGCTATTTTTGGAGTCTTGTTTTATTGTTTTCTACTCCAAGTCACAACCGTGCTAAGATTTACTTGCAGGAGTTGGATTTTAATAGACCCAGGGAGAACAAGCGTCTTCTTGGCAGAGCGTGCAGAGACACAGGGACTTCACACCGCCAAAACGTGGCTGGTACTGCGTAATATTTTTCAGGCGGATTTATGCAGCCAGGTTAACAAAAGCAATAGCTGATACTGGAAAAGGGTGAGAGCCAATCTGGCAGTACTACAAGAAGATACATACGCAAATTAAAAGTGACTTCTCCCGGGAGATGAGAAGTGGCAGATAATGCAATAGGAAATCCCCCATCCTTCCAGCCGCAGTTGCTCCCTGCCCTGTGGAATGGGAAGCCAGGGGTCCAGAGAGCCACAAGCAAACACCCCTCGTGCCACCTCATTAACCATTGTTATCTGCAGGCCTTAACTCTTTCAAACACCGCTGCGTGGTTTGGCAACAGACTAAAGTTCGGGCCTTCGCCTCGCATTGGCCAAGACTCTGGGGACCGAACCCCGATTCCAGCACCGGCCTCAAAACCTACCTCTGATTTCAAACACGACATTTTAAGTGTTTCCCCACAGCGGGCAAAAGGGAGAATTTTAGTTTGGCACCTTGCAATGCATATGAAAGCATTTCCCCTCAGTCAATAAACGTTGCTCTCTCAAGTAGATCTTCCAGGTGCAGAATTCACCCCCCGGACGGTTCTTCTGCACAGAAAAAAATCAAAGCATAAAGTATTTGGGTCACACGGGAGAGAGCCAAATCCCAACAGCAAGCTTTCTGCAGGGCACGGCCAGCTCTCTAGCCACAGGCTAGTCAGAACAGATCTTCTCTGCTGGGCCCAAACACATGCTGTTGTCCTTCACACACTGCAGCCTGCAAAGACTGGCAGCAAAGCATTCCTGCTGCTGTGAAATCCCTGTAATTAATAAGTAATTGAACTTAACCAACTCAGCATGAAGTACAAATACGTAAGGATCAGGAGGTATCGCACAGCTCAGCACGGGCAGAACCAACCCCAAGAACCACAAGACGAAGGGGAACATGCTGAGAAAAATACACCTCAACAGGCTGAGGCTACAGAAAGCCCTGAAAGAGATTTAACTGATGTCAGTCCACAAACATGGGCTCAAAGTCTAAGGGGGGTTTTTTTTTTGGGAGGAGGGGGGGGAGATCAGTTTCAAGACAGCTGAAGCATTCCCATGGAAAGATGTTTTCAGGCTCACATTACGATTCTTGCTGTCGAGAAATAGCTACTGCACAGCCCTGGACAACCTGCGGGCCCAGTGACCAAGAAGACAAAAAACCAAGCAGCCGGTCCCATCCCTGAGCATGCATTTCCACCTCTGTCGCCTTCTGCAAAGCTGCATGGCTGCGGGGTGGAAGGCAGGCCACCAACTCCAGAGAGCATCCCTGTCTCATCCTAAAGGGGTTGGTTTTTTTTTGTCCCCCTCCTTGCCCAGCCATGCCTGCAGCAGTAATCCTGCCATGTCAGATCTCCTCCTCCCTCCACAAGCATTCCCCTGCCCTCCCCAGGAGGGTCTCCACGTTGAAGACTGAGGGTCCCACTCACTGGAAGAGGGTTTGCACCCTTGCACACCTCATCCTGGCCCACACCGGCTCTCTGTGAGGACACCTACGAGCTCACGCAGCCCAGTACCTGTTTGTGCCAGCCACAGGTCCTTCCCTCTGCTCTCCCCCCCGGAGACTTTCTCAGGGTGAGCTCCCCCTTCCTTCCAGCTACCTCCTTTCACATGTCCTAACCTACTTCCCCTCCTTACCAGGGATCTCTCCTGGGAACAGCTTTTCTCCAGGAGCTCAGTGCCACCCCAGGCAAATTCCCCACTGTGGCCACCCCCTTCCCAGCCAGGAAGGCAGATCCATGGATGCGGCTCCTACAGGTATTTCTGCTGCTTGTGAGCCCTTCCTGCTCTGCAATCCAAAGGACACCCCCAAAAACAACAGTGGGGGAGAATCTCCCCAGGGATGAGCTAGTGAAGGGGACCCCCTGATTCACCCTCCAAGGGAGGGGCTCTTTCCTGCAGCTGTGACCCTCAATCCCTCCACACACCCCACAAAGAAGGGGATCCTCTAAAGAACCCCCTGAAAAATGAGTGCCTCACCTTCAAGGAGATGGAGGCTGTGTCCCTCCACCCCCAAAGGGGTCCCCCAAAGCCCTCAGGAAGGACAATGCTGATCCGCATCCCCCTGTAAGAAGAGGTACCCTAAAACCCTCAATGAGGGGATGAAGGCAGCCGCACCCCTCTCTGCATAAAGGGGTCCCTGAGGATGAGAGGCTGGCTCATAAGGGGTTCCCAAAGCCCCTAGTGAGGGGAGGCTGGACCCCCTAAGGGCTTCCAGTGAGAGGAACTTGGGCCAGCCCCCCCAGTAAGGGTTCCCCCAAGCCCCCAGTGAGAGACCAGACCAGGCCCCCTCATCAGGGGCCCCCAAGCATCTGGGCAGACCAACACAGCTCCTCACAGGAGCCTCCCCTGGGGGCCCCCCAAAGCCCCTCAGGAGAGTAGAACAAACCAGCCTCCCCAAGCCCCTGGTGTGGTCCAGCCACCCCCACAAGCCCCCCCACATGCGCAACGAGGGGAAGCCGGCCTAGCCCCCCATTACAGGCTCCCATAAGACCCCCTCCAAGCTCCCAGCCAGGCTCAGCCCCTCCTCACGACTCCCCCAGCGAGACTCAGCCCTCCCCCCCGCAAAAGGATGCCGCAATCCCCCGGCCAGGCTCAGCCCCCTCAGGACTCCCCCCAAAGCCCCCAGCGAGAGG